TTAGCAAGACCATTGAAAACTCATTCAGCTTTCCAGATTTTGTAACAAGCTTTGCTGTATCCATGACCCTACGTAGAGTCAGCTGCCAAAACATTAAAATAATAATAATAATAAATAAGCTACATTCAACAATTAAACAATACAAAACAAGTTAGAAGAAAGTCAGCAGACAGACCAAGAAATTACAAGAAAGCACTCAAAATTTTAGAAACAAGAACAAAGTTCAATTCTGACATCTTGTTGATTTTGCACCATAAAAGTAAAAATCTTGTTAACTCAATATTAGAAGGGTACAGGACCTCTGATTTGCAAGAAGGAAACTGAAAAGATTTAGACGGTGTTGGATCAAATCAGAATGCCGGTAAAAGGATATTGTTATTCCACATGAGAAACATGATTTTTACTGTCTATAATTAGTTCTGGCAATGCCTCTTATAATTAGTAATGACCACTATTAACACTCAAAGACTTCAATTTTTCATAAATATGAAAAGAACTCTCATCAAGGTAGATCTAAAAACAAATTATCACGTAGCTTCCTAATTCATATTCTTATTGCTAACAACTTCTTCTGAGGGGAGAGATATCAAGAACCACATAACAGATAAAGGAATCTGTAATGTGGTAGTTATCTAATATACTTTATATGAAGTTCTGTCATGAAACAATAAAATAAAATAAAATTTTGCCATATATACAAGCTTATATGCAAAAGGGAGAAAATTAAAGACTAATGGGATTCTAAAGTGTACAGAACAGATTGAAACTTCATGTTATTTACTCACAGAATATGAAGCAGTCAAGAAACAGTTAATGATTTGCCATGCATAGCCGACGGCATGGAAAGATAAATCAGTCACGCCTCCAGAAATTGCTGAAATTATCTGCACAGGTTAGATTTAAAACCATGTCAAACCATATCATTATCATATGAGAACTCACTAATATATTCTTATGATACCCAAAAACATCTTCAAATAAATTCATATTGAGATGCAGTGTCTGCAGGCATGAATAGCATTAGGTTGCCATCAACGAAAATATTGCTATGAATAATGAACATGCATGCATACATGTACGCAAGTGTACCCACACAGCATCCACTTACCAGGCAGGACATCAACCCCCCACAATTAGAGAACTATGATAAAGCATCAAACATAGAAGTGTTGCCCGCAGACTCCTGGAGGTTAATATTTCATCTATTCAACAAATGTTTTGTCCTAGTTGATTTGGCTTGATGCTATCATCAAAACCAGAATTTAAACAATTAACTACACCCCACACATGCAGTCTGATTTGGTCTTCAATTCATATATTCATCACCAAGCTCCAAACCAAAGAAAAAGAAAAAGAAAAAAAAAAAAAAAAATTTATAAACATATGATTAAAAAAATTAATTTTGAAAAAATGGATATACTCACACATCATGGTATTCTTGACATCAATATGATGAATTAAGATGTGAATCAAACTTTCAAAAAGAAAAAGAAGAAAAAAGGAAAATTTCTGAGACAAATAAAAAAGAAAATAGAAAGGCAAGACTAGAGAAGAACACTCAGTAAAGCATTGAGCCAGCTCCAAACCAAAGAAAAAGAAATTTATAAACATATGATTAAAAAATAATAATAATTAATTCTGAAAAAATGGATTTTTTCTAAAGAAAAGAAAAATGAATTTATATACTCACACATCATGGTATACTTGACATCAATATGATGAATTAAGATGCGAATCAAACTTTCAAAAAGAAAAAGAAGAAAAAAGGAAAAATTCTGAGACAAATAAAAAAGAAAGGCAAGGCAAGACTAGAGAAGAACACTTAGTAAAGCATCAAGCCAGCAATTGCAAGATGAAAACTTAAGTTCATTTTGTTATTTTAAATCCCAATTGAAACATGTATCAACATCTGAATCTCAATTCACATTCTGACTTATCAAACATACCATTAGAAACAAAGCAGCCCATACTCTGCTGTCATGGTGCTTTTGGAATAGATACATTTCACCAATAGCAGTTATCACATTGGTAACATTCTTTAGGACCGTGACCATTGCTACATTGATGTACTTTAAGCTGCAAACATGAAATTAAGTAAAAATAAAGAAAAGTAAGAGAAAAATACTGTGCAGAAAGAGAAATTTACACCTGCAAGAGCCACAAACCCAGGAATACTTTCATGATCGGTATTTTTCTTATCCAGATCATACCAGATTTAATGCAACAAGAATGTGAGTATAAATATGGTGTGACAAATGTAGACCTACTACATTAAGAGCAAAAGAAAAGAATGTGGGTCAACATCTCATATTAGGCTAATGTCATTACATGGACAATAAGATACACCAATGCTGAACGCTCAAGTCAGCAAATCTGAGGTGCTTTTGATACATACTCAACGGTACATAATAAGCATTACATGTATTTCAAGAATTTTAATATTTTTCAAAACACTAGTGAGGTATCATGCATGTTTTTGGCAGTGGCCAGGAAGTATTGTATCAGAAGACTAGGTCAAGTGTTGCTTATAAAGGATCAAGACGAAATTTGCATACCAACGAGATGGACGCTGGCATTAAATGTAATATTTGATATTAACTCTCATAGTCCAACAAATTAAAGACTACCAAACTCCATTAAGCACCAAGATGAACTTAAATAGGAAAAACTCTATCTACTTCATACCTAAACATGCTTGTAATGAGCATCCCAACGAATATAACATTCACAGGCAACCAGACCTTAACCAATCTCCATGTTAGCGGCTCGGTTGATATTATGCCCAGAAAACTCAACACAGAAACGATTATAACCGAGACTAGGTTCTGCATCCATATAAGTACCATGAGATCGTTAGATCTTGACAAGCAATCTGAAATTGTTTGATTAAATAGAATTGAGTATAAAAAAAAACCCCTTTTGATGTCATCTGGAGGAAAACACATACAAACTCTATTTGAAATAATCAAAATCAATAATGTAATTACCTGGTACAGCATCAGAGAAATTCCAGCATCAAAGTTGTAGCTCGAAAGCACGAATTTGTTAACTAATATCATGCTGCACGACGATATGCAATATGCAAGACCAGCCAACAAGGCCTGATTCTGTGATTTAACCACCTTATTACCTCGTGTTGCTTTATCTCCATCTTTTAACAATTTTCCGCCTTCCAAGTCAGTTTCATTCTTTTCAAACTGATTCATTGGAAATAAAAACCTATATGAAAATTTAACAAGATAATTACAACTCTTTTCTACACTCGTTAGATAAGAGACAAGGAGGAGAGAGGTAGAGACAGACACGCAAACACAGACTTACAGATAGGCTGAGAGAACTCATTCTGAAACATAGAGAACATATGGACTGGTTCCAAACAGATTTTACAGGTCAAATAAGAGTGAAAAGTATCTTGCAGGTAAAATAAAAGTGAAAAGAAGAAAAGAGCTATAAAAAAAAGGACAAAGCCACAAAGAGAATTATGTCTTCTGTATATTCAACCAACAAAAAAGGTAACCATCACTAACACTTGAGTAATTAGCATAGTCAAGTGCTTGCAACTAATTTATTGCTTGGAGAATTGGAAAAAGGACAAGAAAACTTATAATTCCAAGCCAACACTCAAATACAAACAAAACAGTAAATATACATCCACAACAATGGAACTACACTTATACAAATAGCAGAATATGTTCTCAATTATCAATAATGATTTTCTACACGACAGATTGAGTCAAAAACTGATAGAAGAATCAACTTTTCAACGCTCTAGTCTGAGGAAGTAAAGCATGGAAGGCCTGCCATGTATTGGATGGTTATGTAGAGACTTCCCATACATGAGAAGTCTACCCTTACTTTCAAAGTTTCTTTAATGACAAGTTTTCGATTTTGGCAGGATATCTTATGCTTCTTCTTTTATAAAATTCCAACTGGAAAACAGTCCGTATCCATTTGGCTGCTTTAATGGCTCCAATGTTCTCCAAATCAAATGGTAATGCATCAAGTGTCAGCTTTCAGAAACAAAAGGTAAGTGGGCAGATTTTATACAAGAGTCTTTGATCTTTTTCACTGTTTTTGGCCACTGAAGACTTACTGGGGCTGTGAGCATTTGCTATTCTGTTTGCTCTTCCTGGGTATACATGCGAGTAATCATTACTCAAAACTACGCAGCTTAAATGCAAGTAATATGCCAAAAGATGGCTGAAATATGTAGCAAAAAACCACATAGCAAGATGATGCATGAATATAACATGAAGCATTACAACCAACACTAACTGCAAATATATCACAAATGCGAATGAGAAAGAAATGATTTTAAGGAGCATGTGACACCATCACACATAAGCAAACCTGCTTACTACTTGTCTTGTCTTCTCTTTACTTTCCAATCGACAACTACTACCTCTCTTCTAATTTGTTTGTGGAATCAATCTAAAAACCTTGCCAACATAAATGATGAATCAACTTCATCGGCATATTGGTGGAAATATCGGATGCAAAGATGGAAAGTTCCCAAATTTGTATAAATTTCAACTGAACTTCACCGAAATTGAACATGAAGAAGAGCTAAGAAATCCCTAAACCCAAAAATCCAAACTGAATTAGAGTTGTAAATTCCTAATTAAGCCAAATCCAACGCTCGATTTAACCAAATTAATCAAACAATCTACCAACCCAGCAAAATAGCACTACCAAATCAAAAGATTCAAACTTGACAGAGCATTCAGTACTAAGTAGAAAAGAAAAAAGACGGCAGAGCTCAGTCACCTCTTTCACTTTGTTCAGGCCTGCCTTTCTCCAGCCAGTTAGAAGAGGCCGTGAAGGATCTCTCTACCCAACTACCATTCAACCCAGCAAGAGCTTCTCCTTCTTCTTCCGCTTACCCAGAAACCTTTGACTCTGGAGAAGCTTGGCTCTTTTTGTAAGCTTCTCTCCTGCTATATATTCTAAGTCCAACGAGAAGCTCCTCTCTCTCTCGATCTGTTAGTTGCAGATGGAGCGCCAAATAGAGGGAAGGTGGTCCAACCCGAGGCGTCAATGCTGACATGAAAATGAAGCCTGGACAAAGAAAGATCGTCTATTTTGACTCCAACATATTTAAGCGTCTTCTTTTCCATTATTTCGATTTATTTTTATTTTTTGAGAAAAAAAAAGTGTGTGTGTGTGTGTGTGTGTGAGATGGTTTTGATTTAATTAATTCTAAATGACAATATAGGTGTAATGTCTGCTGGTATGCTTCGTTGTTTTCAGTGGCTGCATCAGAGATTTTTATTCTTTTTGCCTCGTCAGTTTGTATTCTGTTTGAATTATTACAAATAGGGTGGGTATGCCATAATTTGGATTAGTTTCAATCAATTATTTTTAAGCAGTAAGCATCGGTTGGTTTGAACTAAAACTAGCGGATAAATCAAACCGAACTAAACTATTATGGATTGACTCGTTTGAACTAAAATTAGCATATAAATCAAACCAAACTAAATCATTATTGGACGGTATAATTTGAGCTGTATGGTTATTTATTTTTAAACTTTTCCTTTAGTAATTTAACTCAGTTATACAAAGTCATGTAATTTTTCTTGTTGATTTATTTTTAGAACTGGAATTTTGTATTTTCTTCAAATCTGAAGATTGAATGTGGAATGGTGGAAGGAAGTTAGGGCTGTGTGGAGGAAGTATGTGATTTGTCTTTTACCTAAAAGCTTTCAGAAAGAAGCTGGAATGTGTTAGTAAAGATCCACTCATCATAGTGGCATTTGAAAAGTGAACCACATTGGCCATTTTTGGCAGCCCTCAACTAAAATAGTAGATTCTTTAAGTTCGGCAATGAGCAAAGTCCATTTTATACAAATAGTGGATCTCCAAATAAAAAGTTAGAGATTGAAAAGAACAACTGAGCTGAGCAAGCAATGTCCATTTTAATAATAGTGGATGAGCAACCACCTTAGTTCCATTTTTGAATAGAAACTAGAAGAGTATGGGCTGTCTATGAACTGTTCCTTTCCGTTTTATTTTGATCTGGTATGGTCTGCGTGTCTGCGTGATTTCTTTTCATTTTATTTTGATATGATTTGGTTTGCGTGTCCACGTGGTTTCTGCTTATAACTGTATTCTTTTTTGTATTAAGAAAATAAGAAACTAGAAGAGGTTTTTTTTTTTTTTTTATAGGAGAAACTAGAAGAGTTGGGTGATGGGTTTTGTGTGTCCCATAATATTTGCATCCATATTGTATGTCGTTTATACAAGAATTCTATAGTGAGGGCCTTATATATGGTCCTTAGGTGAGATTTTATTTCTTAATCGTTTGATCAAATTAGTTACTCTAATCCAACGGTTATGATATATAACCTCACCTAACGGCCATATATAAGGCTCTCACTATAGAATCACTCCTCGTTTATATATGTAGTGTCAATATTGTCTCTTTAAAAAGTACTCTAGACGTTTCATGTGCATTTTGACCGTGTCAATAGCGTATGTTTAAAAACCACATTTCGTGTGCATTAAATGCTAGTTTTGCTTATGAAATTGTGATGGTGCTTATATTGTCCTGCTGTTACTGCTTGATTCTGTTATACATACAAAAGTATAGTGCGATTTGATGACATCCCTAACATTTGGGAGATTAGGTAGAATAAGTTTTTAGTACAAATTTGGGAGCTAAAGCCCAGTTTACATCTCCATCTGCGTCTCAGATGGAATAAATATACGTAAATGATCTTTTGCTCCATTGAGAGGCTCTAAAATTGGGCTGTTAAAACTGATTTTTTTTAAGCCAACGAGCTTGTAGCTCAAAGTGTTTATGACCATTTAATATGTTAAACCCTATAACAGCTTGGACCCCAGCTAACAAGTTACAAAGCTAAAACCAGAAATTAATTGATCATTATAAACGCAAAGAGCCAAATGATCTCTCAATAATTGATTTCCTTTATATAAGCTGATTGCCTGGTTGTAATGAAATTCATAATGTCTCTTGCATTGCCGTGCATTACAACTCTCCCATCTTCCATATAGACAGCACCATCTGCATACTCAAGTTCCTCGAGACGATGGGTGACCCATAATGCAGTAACTTCTCTAGAACTATCCACAGAATTCCTAACTGCTCTGATCACCCCAATCTGGTCACAAAAGCCAAAACTTAGTAACAGTAAAATAAGATGAAACAAAGAGATGGTAATTACTCTTTTCCAGAAAATGGTGATCCTGTGAAGAAACTATCTCAGAAATATTATTGTATGGAACTCAGAATAAGATCACTGGTTAAGTAAATCAATTATAAGGTAATCAAAGCCATATAAAGGTGCCCAACTGACTCTACAAGCAGTAGCATACTGTCCAATTATGACCTTAAGCACCATCAGATAGAATTCCCTAAATCAAGACCAGACTACAATAAGACTAAATGCTTATGTCCCATCATCTGACTTTGAGGTGGTTGCGTGTAAACTAAATGCTTATGAATTCAAACTTTAATTTCGTTGGTCCATGTGGATGGAAGGATTTAAAATCTGAGAGCTTTAGAAATATGAATTTATTGTGTTGATAAACTCCACATGTAAATTTGATTATTTAAGGATAGAAGGGATTTGAAATGCTCAAAAGAACGTAAAAGATCAATAGTTTTAAAGTTCAAAATTTTCATTTTAAATCCTCTATCCAAACGGGAAACGTTCTCTTGCCAGACTGTGATAATGGACCATTGATCAGGTTGGTTTTTCCAAAATCTGTGGTACCAATTCACAGCTCAACATAAACATTTGTCTTGCAATATACGTCTGGGAAGAGAATATTACTCTTATCCAAATGACCCTTAGTTCTTTAGACCAACAAAATGCAAGAATATGCTGTGAAGGGGAAAATCATGATTGCTTTTCTAACGTTTTGGGTACAAATTGTCTTTTCCTATGCAGTTCAGCTTGTCGCAATTGTGTCCCATCAGACAACATTATAAATAAGCAGCCTTGCTGTTTCATGTCAATCATTATTTATAAAAAAATAAAAAAATACTACCTGATCATTTTCATCCAAAAATGTCGTAAGCTCATCCAACAACAGAACTTTACATGCTTCAGCTAAAGCACCAGCAATGGCAACTCTTTGCTTCTGGCCACCACTGAGAGTCTGAACTGACCTCTAATGCAACAAAAGATAAACATGTGAAATTCTTGCTAAAATGTTTGGTGGGTGCTCTAGTGATATTTTAACCATTTTGTTTCTACATTACCTGCATGTAGTTCAACATACTGACAGCATCCAAAGCTTTTGATACTCTACATTTGACTACATCAGGGGTTAGGTTGAACTTACCAAGGCCAAATGCCACATCTGCTTCTACTGTAGGCATCACTACCTGCACATGAAAAGATTCTGGCATTATACATTCACATTGACACAAGTGGTTCCTTGATGAACTTTACTGAAGTGAGACAAACATGAAAACTTGTCCTAGCATTCAACTTCACCTTAATCATTTGAGGTTTGCAATTTTTATGTCAGTATCCAAAATTCACTAGAAATAGAACTCTCACAGGCCGATCCTCTTTTTAATAGGACTATTGATGCTTAATGTGATGGATCACAGTAAATCTCCTCTAAACCTTGATAAACTAAGACCACACCCAACAGTCTTGAAACCTTCTTGGAGAAATAATAATTGGATGATCAACTGCAAACCATCTTTGTTGGGATTAAATGCATAATGCAAATATTTGATTATATTAGTCCCCATGTTTACAGAAATACAGTAAATGCATCCATCAATTTCCTATAGGTAAATCTTTCATATCCAACACTACAATGATCGTTCATTCTGCAGTCATCACAAAATCAAACTTTGACATTGTTTCTATCCTTGAAGCTCCCCACAACTCGAGAACATATTTTTTTAATGATAAGCTAGTAAGTTGAAGGTAAATGTTAAATGATAGAAATCTTAAATCATCATAACGAACCTGATGGTCGGGATTTTGAAAAACAAAACTCCTAGGCCTCTTCACATGCACAGTTCCATCTGTTGGATTCAACAGACCAGCCAAAATCTGCAAATTTCAGAACAATGTAGAGAAAATATACCATTATCTTCTTAATTGGGTACAGCATTAAAAGAACCAACTAACGAAACCATGAAAAACAACATCAAACCAAATACCCAAAAATACCACATAACTAAAATCCTTCAAGCATGAAAGGTATGTTGTGGATTTTTTACATACCTTCAAGAGGGTAGATTTCCCGCAACCATTGGGTCCAAGAAGCATCCAAAACTGCCCCGAAGGAATGTGAAGAGAGCAATCTTTAAGAATGGGTATGGTTTTACCTTGCCTTGTCCCAACCGAGAAGCTGAGGTTGCGACCTTCAATGGCAATGTTCTCGGTAAAATTGGTCCTAAACAGACAGTGAGAGAGATATATGCATAAGAGAAACGCAACCAAACAGAACTAACTTCAACAAGAAAAGAGGTATATGAAAGAAGAGCATAAAAGTGTTTGAAAACAAGCCCAGCTGAAAAGATATTGCGTTGTGTGAACCTGACGCGAGGAGTGGAATACAGAGGAGAGACAAAAGGCTTAGAGGGATGGATGAGATTTGAGGGATTCATCATGTTATGGATTTAGGAGGTTGGAAAAGTTGCCGGATTCTTATTTTTCCCCTCCTACAAGCTGCATAACCAAGTAAGTAGACTAAGGGTGAAGAAAAGTATCTTGCAGTTACAATAAAAATTGAAATGTAGAAAAGAGTTCAAAGAAAAAATAGGACAAAAACAGCAAGAGAATTACGTGTCTGTATCGAAAACAAATGGTAGCTAGCTGGGTAAATTTTATACAAGAGTATCTTTCACAGTTGGCCAATGACTAGTTAGCTACTGGGGGTTTCAGCATTTGCTACACTGTTTGCTCTTCCTCGGTATATATACATGAAAGTAATAACTACTCAAAGCTACGCAGCTCAAAATCATATGATGTATGAAAATTCAATTCAAAATAAAATATGGTAACATGAAGCGTACTCACATGTTTTGAATCTTCGTACATTTGCAAAACAATCGCCATAAAATTGATGCTTACCAAACTCTGGAGTCAAATAGATGTTGAGATGGGTAAGTAGTTCCTGAGAAGAAGTAATTTTCGATGAGATAATGATTAACAAAACTCAGAAAATCAAAATACACGAAACCCATTTGCCGAACCAAAACAAAAAAACAAAAAAAACAGGAATACTAGTGAAGAAATCTTTTGTAAATAATAATTAAAAAAATTCTATTATAAATCCAAACCAAACCTGAATGCTTTCTTCGTTGATGCTCTGCCGTCTGCAGGAAGGCAATTAAACTGAAAGAACAGTTAAGAAAATGAAGTAGGATAATGGAAGCGCTTGAAAGTTGAAACTAAACCGACTGGTTTTTTATTTCTTCTTTAGTACAGCTACGATGTGGGATGGGTTTTAGCGTTTGTGGGGGATCTTGAATCCGAAGGACAGAATTCGTTGAAGCAAATGGGTTAGATATCGTTTTCAATGGGTTGGATTGATTTATGTTGTGTGTTTCATCTTTTTTCTTTTCCTAGCCTTTTCCACTTGCTTCCGCGCCTACGAGGAGGGTTTTTTTTTTTTTTTTTTTTTTTTTTTTTTTATTTTTATTTTTTAAAATTTTT